TTCCCCGGCGAAAACGGAGTCACCCTTGCATAGTGAGCTTATCTCCCTCCACCACTAGCCCAGGGAGGAACTCCACAACTTTCAGTCCCACCTCCCTCGGGAGGAAAAAAATCTATCATTTATTTGCTGCATTCAGGAACATCCTTTGGCTTCCGGTGGAAGCCAAGAGAACCCCAATTTAGCTTAGAACCTCATCTTTGGGCGCTATCCACAGCTGTGCCGGGTAACTGGCTCTTCCTGTGTGCGCACTGCCTGTCCTGTCTGGTTGTTCTCAAGCACATCCCCACGCCTTCTCTCTCGCAGTGGTCACAGGCAGAGGTTAAGGTGCTCAGTGAACTTGGGTGTGGCCGGACCAGTGGGTGCCTGGAAAGCGGGCGAGGCGTAGGCGTAGACGTGTTCCTTGCTGCAGTGCACACTCCATCAGATTACAGAGAATCCAGACTGATCCCTGCCCCCGCCACCACCACCCCCACACACACACACCTCCCGCTCTGGGCAAGCGCAGGAACTCCCTGGAAAGCTAGCGGGGTGGGGGGCGGGGGCCTCTGCTCTGCGCCTCCCTCCCCTGGGGCTAAGCTAGTCCAGTGGTCGGCGCCCCGCGCGCCCGTGGAGGCAGGCCCCGCGGACCGACTTGCTGGCAGGGCTGCCTCCCCGCAGTGACGTCCCAGGGGGCGGAGGGCGGCGGGCTGGCTCCGCGCCCTCCCCTCCCCGCCTCTTCCAGTGCCCAGGCCGTCGGTCCCCTGGAGATGCTGCAGCAGCCGCCGCGATCGCAGTTAGAATGCTCGCCGCCGCCTGCCGTCCGCCCCGCCGCGGTAGCGCCCAGGCGTCCGATGGGGCTTCACCGGAGCCGGCCATGCAGCCGCGAGCCCCGCTGCGGGCGGTGCTGCCGGTGGTGCTGACGGCGGTGCTGCTGGCGGGGCCGCGGGGCGCGGCGGGCAGCCTGCTGAGCGGTGAGTGCGCACGCCGGGGCTGGGGCGCTGCTCTGGTCCTGGCCCCTGCCGCCCGCTCCAGGGCTTTCCGGGGGCTGCGCCCGAGTTCGGGGTTCCCAGGGCTGCCTCAGTTCCCTGAGAGCGACCCCCGGGTAGATTTGGGGGCGTCCAGAGGCGTAGGCTGGACGCGACAGTTAGGCAAAGTTGCTCCAGGGGCGGTCTCCTGTGAACTCAGGAGGTCCCCGGGCCGGGCGGGCTCACCAGCTAGTCCCCACTTCGCGCCCAGTAGAGGAGTCAGCTTGGGAGGGAGCTCGGGGTCTCAGGATCTGCGGTGGGTGCTGGGAGGGTGGGGGGGGTCTGTTACTACTGGTCCCTTCTCGGGGGAGGATTGCTGGACCCAGTGCCTGAAGGGAGAGCGCTACGATCTGGAAGCGCGAGTCCTAGTAGCGCCGCGGCTAAAGCGCGCGGCGGAGGTCTGCGGTGAGAATTCGCCCGCGGGCTGTTCCGCGGAAGAAAGACTAGGCGGTCTACTTCCATTAAGATTACAGCCTCGGAACCCCTGTGAGGCCGTGGGGCTCTGAGCTATCGGGCGGTCACTGGCCGGAATGAACTGCACGGCTGTACGGTTTTTTTGTTTTATTTTTGGAAAGATGCCTAGTTCGCAGGGACGGGCCCCGCCTGGCTCCGGGCAATGACTCTCTTTGCTTCCTTCCTCCTGTGGCGTACCCAGCAGCCTCGGACTTGAACCCCAGAGGAGGTACAGTGTTCTGAATTCTTGGCTTTCCAGTTGTTATGCCGGGGGCAGGGCGGGGGGAGTAGTGTCCCTGGCCCTTTCTCAGGCCCCCACCTCGGGCGCGGGCCCCTTGGCTAAGACGGGCAGAAAGAAAATAGAAACTTCTTCCACTCTCAGTTATCCCAGCTTGCGAAGCTGTGGTTTAAAGAATTGAAAGCTGGTTGCAGGGGTGAGGTGGGGGCGGGGGCGAGTGAGGTTGTATAAGGGGAGGTAACCGAATTCAACTGCTTGGGTTCCCACTGCATTAGCTTTGTTCTTTGGCGGGGGTGGGGTGGGGGTGTTACAGAAGGCCCGCCCACCCTTCCCTTTCCTGCAAATGAGAGGACACTTCCTGAAGGCAGGGGGACCTGCCAGATGAGCTCTCTCGGGCCTCCTTCCAGCGCTCTCTGGTCCCTAAGCCGATTCAGGATGTGCGGCCTGGCAGCGACCACACTGCAAACAAGATTAAGGCGTTCAGTTCTCTCTCGCACAGTCCAAACGCGGGAGCTGGCGGTCCGTCCAGCTGCAGCTCAGGTTATGTTTGCGGCCAGGTTGGTGGGGCTCCTCCTTCTCGTCCTTGGCTAGCATCCGCGGCTGCGCTTGCAGCGCCTGTAAGGAATTGCCTCTGGCAGAGATCTCTGTGGTGGGCAGTTTGAAACCACCAGCCGCTCCACAGGAGGAAGACGGGGTTACACTCTCAGAAACTCAACGTGGCAGTGCGTGAGTTAAGGAATCACAAGGAGGCCTAGTCGCACAGTGGTTAGCGCACTCCCGAAAGTGGGCGGGGCTTGGAACCCATCCTCCTCTCCACTGAGGGAAAAGACACCGCAATTGGCTTCCGATTCTACTCTTGGATCGCCCAAGTCCAAGTGCACTTCACGGTAGTGGGCTTGAGGGCTTGTTTTTGTTTGCTTGTTTGTTTTAAGGAATCACTGAGGCTCGGTTGGCCCAGTCTCTCCAAGCAGCTCCCAGCTTCGGCCTTTCTGGCTGGTGGTCCTCAGTGAGCCTCGCTCCGGAGAATGCCCCTCAGTTGCAGAAGGATCGCAAGGAAAGGGAAAAGATGCCCACGCGCGCGGACCTCTTGTTACTTATTGGAATGTCTCTACGGAATCGAAGATGCAACCTCACTAGAGCTTCCCGGATGCCCTCCGTGTGCTCTGGTCCCATTGAACATTCCTCCTGCGGTGGATGTCGGCGTTCTGCCCCATATTCTGGAGGGTTTGGGGAATGATGGGTGCCACACTGCACAGCTCCCTGCACAGCTGCAAGATCAGTTAGGAAGCTGAGAACATTCCAAGAGTTTCCCCCGCCTCACCCCCCCCCAAAAAAAAACAACCAACCAAATCGCTTATCCCTTCACTCTGCAGCGCAGTATTTTACACCCAGAGCCCACCATTGGGCTCTCAAATTGCAGGGACTGTTTGACATCTATCTTTCACTTTCGTCTATTTGGCTTCATTCAGAAAGAGAGGCTGCCTGTGTCTGTGGGGTAGGAACTAGTGATGGCAGCCTGTCCCCAGCGCCCAGCCCAGTGCCAGACACAAGGTGAGCGTCCAGTGTTAACTGCGCGAAGGAATCGTGAGGCTTATTTGTCTGGCTTAGCAAAACTTCACTCACCCAGACACAAGCCAGAGCAGGGTGTGCTGGCGGCTGATTTATTACTCACGCCTAGCAGCCCCATCCATCTGCCTGAGACCATCTCCAGCCCTTCAGACGCAGGGCAGTGCAGCCTGCGCCAGGGTGGCACCCGAGCGAGCAGGGTGGTTGAGGAGCCCCTGGTCTGACTGTGCAAATACGGTAGATCCGAGTCCCTGCCCCGTGCTGCTGATAGTTGTGGAACCGTAGTGGAATTACTTCGTTTCTCAGAGCTTCGGTTTTCTCATCTGTACAATGAAGCCAAAACAGTACCTACAAACTAAAACCCATCCAAAGCCGCTGCTGCCTAGTCCAATTCTGACTCATCGGGCCCTCTAGGACACGGTGGAACTGTCCCATGGGGTTTCCAAGGTTGTAAATCGCTCTCTTGTGGGTTTGAACGCTGAGTTCTTTGGTTAGAAACTGAGCTTTCACTAGGCCACTGGGGCTCCTTACAACAATGTCGCACTGAGGGCTTATTTTGAAGTTAAACAAAATAAAGTATTATGTATAAACATAAGGCCACTAGCCTCCAAAAATACCCAAACTCACTGTCATGGAGTTAATTCTGATTCATAGGAACCCTCTAGGAGCAGATATTGCCTCATAGAGATTCTAAGATGATAATCTTTAGGGAAGCAGAAGCAGCTAGCTGGTGGATTCATACCCCCGACCTTTTGGTTAGCAGCTGAGCACCTAACTGCTGCACCACCAGGGCTGCTACCTCTAGTCCGGGGCATGGCATATCGTGAGAATGCAGGAACCTTAGCTGTTATCCAAGAGTCATCTTGGCACAGTTGTTAAGTGCTGGGGCTGCTCCCTGGAAGGTCTGCGGTTCAAACCCACCCAGCTTCCCAGATGAAAAGACCTGATGATCCGCTCCCTACGTGGCAGTCCTACCTACTCTGTCACCTGGACTCACTAGGAGTTGGAAGTGACTCCACAACACTCATCATCATCAACAACAGATGTTCTCTTCAGACGAGAGCACAAGGCTGACTGTGAGTATCAGACCACTTCCGATGCTGTTGACTTCTGGCTACACCGCAGACGGAGGGGATTCTCAATCCTGCTACACAGGAGGAAGGAGGTCCCAGGGAAAAGGAGGTCACCTACTCCTGACGCTGCATGGCCTCTCTTATGAAGGAGCCGCTAGAGAGACTCACTTTATGCCACACTGTCCTCTGGGACTGCCTAATGGCTTCAAAGACTTAATTGTCTGTCTCTAAGTGAAGTCATGAATCTTCATTTACCTCTCTGCTAAGCAAAGGCTAGTCAGAGATATCTGCTTAATGGATCTAAACACTGCATTGAAACAAAACATGGAGTCCCTCCACAGTAGCGGCATCAGAGTCGAAATCACTCTCCCTCCTTGTTGGAAGGGGTATTAATTCACTGTGAGACACGATAAGTGGCATTTTAACAATCCACTGAGTACTCGGGATTCCTGCCCCATCATACCAACGAGCACCCCTGCCCTGGTATACTTTGGGGGACAATGAAATAAGTTGAATTCTTCTTTCTCTAGGGCAGCGGGTCTGCCAGGGAGGGACGCGAAGCCCTTGTTATAAAGTCATTTACTCCCATGATGCTTCTCAAAGACTGAGCTTCGAGGAAGCCAGAGCAGCCTGCAGGACGGATGGGGGTCAGCTAGTCAGCATCGAGTCTGAAGATGAACAGAGACTGATCGAACAGTTCATCGAGAACCTTCTGGCTTCTGATGGTGATTTCTGGATTGGGCTCAGGAGGCGTGAGGAGATGCGAAGCAATAGCACATCGTGTCAGGAGCTTTATGCCTGGACTGATGGCAGCACATCAAAGTTTAGGTAAGTGTGTGGAATCCCCAGCGGCTGACTCCCTTAGCTTAACTTGAAAAGGAGGTGTAGTCCAAAGTCGGGAAAGCAGGGATTCAGTGCATGCACATCCATGCTCTTAACAGCATCCGTCGCAATAGCCCCCAGATGCAAACAACGCAAGGGTTCATCCACAAATTATGGATGGATAAGCAAAACCAGAGCAGTCCAGTCTCCTTATTCAAGGCAGTGTGTTCTATAAAGTCTTCCAGAACACTGAATGAACCTTGCTCAACCTCAGTTGGGAAGTCACAAAAGGCTACTTATGTCCCCCCTCACTGTGTGCATGCCCATGTCCATGGCTGGCTAACATAGAACCCTGAATATTGATTGGTGTGTTTATAAATGCATTTTAGCAAGTAGGCCAACTCCCAACATGAAATTCATGAGTAACAAGAATTGATCATATATATTGTACAATGGAATATCATTCAGCCATACAAAGGAACAAAGTCATATGCAGCATGTGACACTCTGGGTTGACTAGAGAAACAAATTCATAGACCCTCATATGTGTGTAAGAGAGAACTTTATATCAAAGAGCAATGGTACATTAAGAAAACATCCCAGCCCAGTCCAGATCAAGTCCATAAGTTCAATATTACCCCACATATTGATACTAGTCCATAAATTCCAGATCAAGTCCATAAATCCAATACTACCCCATATATTGATACTAGTCCATAAATTCTCTTTAGACTCATGCAGCCATGCAATAACACTGAATGAAAGAAGATCACAGGCCAGTGGGTAGAAAGTCTTATGGATCCAGTGGTGGTGAAAGCATCTCACCACTGGCATGGGTCTCCATGTGGCTCCTCCAGCTCCAAGGCTCTGGTCTATCTGCATAGCTCCATGTGACTTCTCAACAGGAATATCTTGCAGGGAGTGAGTGTGTCTGGCCTCCAGTGGGCTAATTATATCTGTCGCACCTCAAAATGAGGTCATCAAGCTGTGAGCTGATTGACAGGCTAGACTCCACCCCTTCGCAGGTTGACAGGAGATTATGTAACTACCACGCTGCACTACAGTATTACCATCACCTGTTACCATCCAGTTGATTCCAATTCATGGTGGTCCCGTGTTGGGGTTACTCTCTTTTTATGACAAAAAGGACCAATTATACATGAAGATGCCAAAAGATAAAGAAAGCAAAAGGCTCCAAAGACAGTTCACAAAACAGAAAATCAAATTTGCAAACCCTCTTATGCAGCGGTTCTCAACCTGTGGGTCGGGACACCTTTGGGGGTCAAACGACCATTTCACAAGGGTTGCCCAATTCATTACAGTAGCAAAATGACAGTGATGAAGTAGCAATGAAAATAACTTTATGGTTGGGGATCACCACAACATGAGAAACTGTATTAAAGGGTTGCAACATTAGGAAGGTTGAGAACCACCGCTCTTAAGGGAAGAAAAAAAATTAAACTTGCCATCAATCAAAAGAACACAAATTAAAATACAGGGATGTTGCCTTTTACATTGAAGACAGCATGTCCACATCAGTGCACCATTACGCTCATGTCAAAGCACTACGCAAATCAGATGGGTGTCTCCATCCACATTTCTCAAGTAGCTCTTCCTAAATGGGACTGATCTCAGCATCACAACTAATCCTAACTAGCCTCCTTCCTCTACTGTCCCTCAGTGGGTCTCAGTGGTTTAACTCTGTGCATGACTCACTCTCCTCTATCACCCTCATTCCTGATGAGTCTCAGGCCCTGTCGCCCATCACCTGTCACTTCTTAGGCTTGAGTGATTGTACTTTTCCATTTGCTCTTAATTTTTTCACTGGGCAAAGGAGCACCACTCACTGCCATAGAGCCTATGCCAACTCATAGCAACCCTATAGGACAGGGTAGAACTGCCCCTATGGCTTCCAAGACTGTAATTATTTTTTGGAGTAGAAAGTTCCAACTTTCTCCCTCAGAGCATCTAGTAGTTTCAAACTGCTGACCTTGCAGTTAGCAGTCCAATGCCTAACCACTATGCCACCTGGACTCTTCAAATGAGCACCAAGAGGTATTTAAATGAGTGCCAAGCATATTCCCCCTGCCTATAATTTATAGAAGGGAATAGACATAAAGATTGGAGTTAATTACCTTCTGCCAAGATAACAATTCCTCTTGCCTGCTGATCCCTGGGCACATGTATCCCAAAGTTCCCAAGTGACTGCTATAGCTTATGGTTCAATAAAACTCTTGCCATATCCTCCAGTAGAAGCAATGCTCCTTTGGGAATCGGGGCTTCTAAACCTGCAGAGCACCATGTTGCAGAGAAAAGCAGCACAACTTCCCAAGACATTCACTAATAGTTATGGTTAAGTGGGGCTCCTCCTGATCCTACTGCTTGACCCCTAAGGACATAGAACTATAGAAATGTCACTGATTTGAGAGATACTGCATCCTGCAAAATGATATTTTTCAAAGTATTGTCTCTAAGCTGGTACTTCGCTTATTGTCTTCCATCATCCCTCTGTCAGACTAACCATGTCATGATGCTACATGACTAGTGGATCTCCTGATCAAGGGCCTATTCCCCCACCTCCTTGGTGATCAAACAAGTCCCTTGGATGAGATGCTGTTTGGAGCTCTGTGCTGTCAGACCAAGCCTTTGGTTAAGGCCCCAAGGTTAGGTATCTATCTTTTCCCATCAGATGTGTATCTTTTCCCATCAGAATAAATCACTGTCCCTTTCAAAGTGAAAGGAGTTCCCTGTCATCCACTTGTCACTGGATGTTGGCTTGACAGTACATCAGGGACACAGCACTGGCCTCCATTGCTAACTGATGCTATTGGGCACAGGCATATCATCCACTTCTAGCCCCATGACTGCTTGGCCCGCACCAGGGTGGATTCGCACCAGGGTGGCTGAAACAGGTTGGCTGCTGTCAACTGGTTGGTTGTTCAGATACGGCAGATAGTCTCGGTACGCGTTAACACGTGATAGAAAGAGTTCTCATACTTTATACCCATCCCCTTTTTCTATTCCTTTCACTCTGTCTCAGTAGTTCTCATCAGTGTGTGAGTGTGAGTGAGTGTCTAAGCACTCAGCTGCTAACTCAAAGGTGAGCAGTTCAAGTCCAGCAGCCCCCTCTGAAGGAGAAAGAGGAGGCAATCTCTATCTGTAAAAATGGACAGCCTCAGAATCCCTATGAGGCAGTTCTCCTAAGTCCTGTCGGGTCGCTCTGAGTCAGAGTAGAGTGTTGGACGGGTTGGGTGGATTGGGTTGGTTCCCCCCAGAGATGAGGGCAGCAGTTACCATTGTTGCAGCACGCAGAGATGAGAGGGCAAACTCTGGATGAAATAAACCATGCCCCTTCTCAGGGCAGCTGATCTCTTGAAAAAAGAAAGACAAAATTCAATTAGCAAAAAGCAAAGCAAAAATAAATCAGATCATCCAGCTTGGTCCTGCTAGTTGCTTATTCTCTTAATTACTTTGCAGATGTCATCTGGTTATATATTTCTGCTTGCAAAGAGGTTGTGGTAAGTGTCAGATGATTGATGGTGACGTCCTTCTTAGAAAGCACGTGGCCCTACTTATTGGCAGGCCCTCAATTCTTCCGGCAGCAGAACCTGGACTCCCAGGCTTGCTGGGACCTGGTGGGAAGATGAAGGCTCTGAGGTCTTGGGGTGGTGTCCTCCCCTGTTGCCTTCACCACTGACCCCTTTCCTGCAGGAACTGGTACGTGGATGAGCCTTCCTGCGGCAGTGAGATCTGCGTGGTCATGTACCACCAGCCATCAGCACCTGCCGGCATCGGGGGCCACTACATGTTCCAGTGGAATGATGACCGATGCAACATGAAGAACAATTATATTTGCAAATATGCTGACGGTAATGAGACCTCTCCGAGCTATGCAGCTGGCTTCTCAACCCCTTCCCTCAGTTCATAGGCAGCTGCTAGTGCCCAAAATCCATTTTATGGTCTTTCTGGGAAAGCGTGTTGCCAAGGCTGGCGATGTTAATCATTCGGAGCTGTCTGTTGCAAAGGGGACGGGAGGGCACTTCCTCGGGGCAGAGTGATCCCAGCCAAGGAAAAAGGTTTCTGTTGCTGAGATAAGAATGGAGGGCAGAAAGGCTCTGGTTTGTGCATGATGAAGCAAACCGTATTAGAACGTTCGTGGTATACGAAGTCCTCTATGGGGACAGTCCCAAATCCCCATTCTTCCTATGTGAGGGGTTGGCTGTAGGAGCTTGAAGTAAAAAGGGAATGGGAAAAGCATTTGGCCATTACTCTTGCAAGTCTTCTCCTGGCTATATAAGGTTATTTTCTGGGGCTTGAAGGTAACAAAGGAGGTGGTGGATAGAATACAGGCAGTTTCTGGATAATGAGCATATTCTATTCCTAAATCTGTCCTTAAGCAAATTTGTACCTAAATTCAAACAATGAGATACCACGTGGATCTACATCAGCTGGTCAAATGTTGATCTGTATACAGTGTTGTACCTTTCTATAAAGAGCCTTAGTGGCTCTGTGGGTTAAAAAAGTGAAGTGACTCACTGCCATTGAGTCGATGCTAACTCAGAACAACCCTAAGGGCAGGGTAGAACTGCCCCTGTGAGTTTCTGAGACTAAATCTTTACAGGAGTAGAAACCTCATCTCTCTCCCACAGGTCAGTTGGTGGTTTCAAACTCCAGACCTTGTGGTTAGCAGCCCAATGCATAACACTACTCCACCAGAACTCCTGGTGCAGCGGGTTAGTGGACTGCTAAATGAAAAGTCACTAGTTCAAACCCATCAGCCACTCTGTGGGAGAAAGATGAAGCTGTCTGCTCCCTTAAAGATTTACAATCTTGGAAACACTACATAGAATCACTCTCTATCAGAACGGACTTGATGGCATTGGTTCGGGTTGGGTTTGGATACCTCCCTATACATAAAAAAAACATGAAAGAAACATCCAGACACACGTAAAACATCTTTACTATAATAATACAGTCAGCATAATACGAGCGTGTGTTGGTCTAGGTAGACTAGAGAAACAAATCCATGGACACACATCTGTGTATAAGAAAGAGATTTATATACAAGAGCAATTGAACATTGAGAAAACATCCCAGCCCAGTGCAGATCAAGTCCATAAATCCAATATTAGCCCATATTTCCGACATCAATCTATAAAGTCCTCTTCAGACTCACGAAACACATGCAGTGAGG